TACGCAACACTGCCGCTTGCACAAGTGTCAATTTGAACTTCTCTCACACAGAGACGAAGACACATAATGTTAATTGGGCTGAAAGCACAGAGCTGTTTCTCCCAGTGTGTTTGTTTCTTCCCAGCGTACTAAAAATAGTCCCTGTTGTGTGATGGAGGGGATGTTCTAACTACACCAGCATATGCTTTAATTGCTGCAGTCTCATTTGCCAACGTTTCTTTCTGTTGAACTTTTGAACTGAACTGTCAACCTATCGCCGCCACGGTTTGTTTGATGTGCCCTCTGGCCGTGATGGATCTTTGCACGGGTCAAGTGCTAATGTTGAACCGCAGCCATCAGACATGAAAGGCAGGATAATTGGCCTCAAAAAGAAAAATAAGAAATCCCAGTAAACAGAACACTGGGGTTGCTGCTTGCACGGCTCCAAATCTCAAATTTATGAGCATATCCAGATCCGTCAGATGCACTCTTTGTATTTTTTATGAGGACAAAAGATACAATAATAATCCGCGTCAAGACAAATCTCCCGTGTAAGAGAGCTTCATCCCCTGATAAATGAAGAACCAAGCAGCAAAGCTTGAATTTGAGTTTTCTTCAAGTCTATCAACACAAGCAGAGATGAGTGCTGAATGCAAATGCTCCCTATCAGTCATTTCCCTGGAGCAGTTGCTTAAGCGTGGTCTGTGTGTTCAGAATCTTAAAGGCATGGATCCACACACACACACACACACACACACACACACACACACACACACACACACACACACACACACACACACACTATTGAACGCTGCAGGGCATGCTAAAAAAGAAGTGGCAGTGAGAGGGGAGCGTACAGAGATAATCAGGCACATGTTTGGGTCAGCATGTGGCCAGAAGTGAAACACCTCATGAATCCATTCATCTCCACAGAGATCGTTAAAACGCTAATGTCTTTGTATCAAATTTTGAGACAAGCTGAGCAGAATTTTGCAGACGTGTGTGTCGTTAGAGTTGGGATTTGTCTCTTCATGCAACAAACCAAATGAGTATTTGCAGACTTTATCTAAACAAATGTTGATGCAAGCTCACAGGGCACATTCAGACGGTGCTGGATTAGCTTCAGGCCAGAGAAAAGGAAAATAATTGAAATGCAAATAGGATGGGGATTACTGAGAGGGTATTCACTGGACAAGTGGCTTCTGTATTAGCGGATGAAATACCGGTCATGTTAAGAAAAGTGTCTAAGCCTAATGATTATTCCCTCTTTGTTTACAGGAAGCTAAACATGCATAAATGTGGGGGCAGTTAAAAATGTAATATGCATAATTATCTAACTATAAGTGGTAATTGTTTCCATCATTGCACACATTCATAATCAGCGTTTTGGTACTGGAAGTGTCCTAGTTCACCTGAGAATAAATAATATGTTCAGTTCTCACACAGAGGAGGCATTTATGTGACTGTCCCGTGAGCTGCATTCACAACCAAAAGAAGAAAAGGTGTTAAATGAGAAATGAAATCATCTCTACATCAAACGCATACTTCCCGCACAGCCCAACGTGTGAAATCCATGGCTGCAGGGACGGCGCCGACTTGAAAGTATCCAAATACGAGTTCTCTTTTGTAGCTCGTCAGATCTGTAGAGAATATAGGAGATGCATATCCTGATTCTGTTCTTTTCCTACCTTGGGGAAATCTATTTTTGCTTCTAAGTGTGTTTCTGTTGTCACTTTGATGACGACTGAATGTAATTATATAAATAAGCACTTAAAAAAGTTTTTTAAAAAACTGTTGAATGTGTTGATTCGCTGATTATTATCTACTCTGGGATAAACAAACAACATCAACACAAGACCGTGTAGTCATGGAGCCTTTTTAATCACACGGGTCATAATTTTCAAGTGGACACTGCCCTCTGCTGGCTAAATTCAAACCAAACACCCAAACTTTTCTTTAATCCTGATTAAGATCACATCATCTCTTGGAGGCTATTAAACTTTCCCACAAATGAGCACAGCTGCTTTTCTTTTCTTTTCTTTTCTACTCTATTTATTTTCTCTTATATGCATAAGAAGTAACATACAGCATAAATTTAAATTACCTGCAAAAACAGAAGAAAGTGATGGTTAGCATCATTTAACTGCAACATTTTAAATGGACTAAAATGCCAAGGTAATGGTGTAATTGTGTTTAAACTGCTGCAAAAGCAAGGCTTCCTGCAGGATTTTTCCTTATTTTTATTATTTTTTTAAATTAATTAATTTATTTTTTTTTGTTTGACAGTATCTCTCCCAGGGAGATTTTGAAACCTCTTTTGTTTCGTGCATTTGACGACGACAATGTTTCAGTGACACAAAGGAGAAAAAAGCCAACGTGAATGAGAAGATAAACATTTTAAGAGGACATCACAACTGTAGTCATTATCCCTTATCTGGGATTCATCGCAGCTTCCTGAGGAGGAGAAAATCAGTCATGAGCAGGTGTTTCTGCACCTGCACACGATAGCCTGCAAACGTGCTGTGAATACGTTCCCTTTGCTGCAGAGAGCGGAAGATTTTAGTTGTGATAGAGTATGGAAATCAAAGTGCTCTGCAGGGTGAGTCATCACACGGCGTTTGTGGCATTTCGGTGAAACGCCTCTCAAAACTTTGGCAATTAAACGGCATTGTTTTGACAAGCGGTGGTGTCCAAATACACAAACTGGTAATCGTTTGTAATTAAAACACATCTGTTCAGCCACAAAACTGCTCTTGTTCTGTTGTTGTGAGGAATACACCAACAGAACCTGTCCTGATGCACCCTTCTACCTTTACAAAAATATCAGATATGATGTAAGAACTCACACAGCGACTTGGAGTAACCCTATAATCACGTTACAGAGAAGGAAAACGACAGACAGGCACATAACCTCGGGATCAAAGTCATCTTCCAACAGCTTAGAGAAGTCAACACGGCCGAGTCAAAGAAGATCGGTTCTGTTCCAGTCTGAAAGGATGCATTTCCCAGGGTCAGTGGAGCTGTGACCAGTCTGTCACTCGGTGTGCTGAGGCGGCTTCAGCAGGATTTACAGCATCCACTGGTTTGCAAGATCCCGGTAAATCATACTTTGCACCAAACTGACTTTTGGGAGAAATGCTACCATAATATCTAGTTTAGAGAAGACTTTTAAAGTAAATGTCTTTCTGACCTTGTGAAGAAGCTTTAAGTACCATGAGATGTTATTTTGAGACAACATATTGATAAAGTATGTTGTGTCTATTCGGAACTTTTAGAATAAAGTGCAAGGATGAGGTGAGTCATGCAATATCCCCTCAAAGTTTCATTTATAAGGGATTAGACATTTTAAAAACAGTTTGATGTTCCATTTGATTCATCCATCCATCTATTCATTGTCTTAACCGTTCGTTCCTTTCTCACTGGGCGGGAGGTCTGGACCAGCCTGGACTCACATGCAGGTTTTTGGTCTGAATAAACCTGAAGAGATCCCACACATGCATGACGGGGAACATTCACACTCTGCAGAGATTCGATTTCCAAATATTACTTGACTTTAACCCGTAAAAAGGGAGTTCAGGAGCCTATCTAGACGAACCTCAGCAGCAGAAAACAGATTTTGCACTATTTACTGTGCAAAAGCCCTAGTTGGTTGGTACATCCTAAAAGTGGTCTGGACTGATGGATGCAATATGATCTGCACATCTATGCATCGTTGATTGTTTGCAGAGGTATGATGGATTGCCAGGCTAGGAGTTCAGATCTTTATAAGTGTGTTATCTTACACATTCTAGATCTTATGAATGGCCTTGGTTTAGAGAAACAGAGATTAGTTCTGACTGAACCAACAAGCTAAAGACTAGTTACAACGTGGCCAATTATGAAGTGTCGGGTCAAAAGCAGTTCATACAAATACTTTTTCATAACTTTAAAGGTCTGGTTCACTGAAAACCACTTTTTAATAATTAGTTTGGATTATAATCGGCCACTGTGGCTGAACATGAAAATAGTCTTCTACACCTATCTCCTGCCTTAGCTGCTGATAGGAAATAGACGGTGAGCACTAGGATTTGAAAAGCCTGACAGATCTGCGTCTAGCAGTTGCTTGGACTCACCCATACTGGCTCACGACGGGGAAGGCTGTTGGTGAAGAATCAGCCGAAAACATTGCAGTTAGCAGAAGCTAACCGTTAGCATTAGCAACTCAACCACACAGCAGAAGCTCCTCCAGGCGTATGTTAATCGTGGAGATAAAACATCCGAGTCGCAGAGCAAACGTTTAGTGGTAGAGGTGTGTTGCTGTTAGCCAATCAGAGGCAAGATGTCCAAATGTCAGGAAATACGACTCCAAATCTTGCTGTCAAGCTCAACTCTGTTGTGGCAAACTTGTCCCTACTAATGCAGGCGTTTCTGGGCTTATTCTTGCCCTGAGTTTGGCTTGCAAGGCATTCATTCCAACCACTGCGAATGTATTTTATTACACAAGTTTCCCACTCCTGTCATGGTATAGCCACTTTTTTAAACTATTATTTTTTTATTCTATTTTATTTCAGTCACAAGTGCTTTTCTACATATAGATTTCTTTGTACATCGTCATGTAAAGTAAAATGCTTTAAGTGTATAAAATAATGACTGCAGAAATGTTTAAGTTCTTTTAAGCTTCACTCAGATTAGCCAGAGATACTATATTTCTACTTTTAAAGAGTAGAACTTTATTTAAAACGCTCATCTTAAAAGACTTGGGCAGGGGGCACCGATGAAAGCTGTAGAAATAGGCTAATCTGGAGTTTAAAAATATTTTAAATAATTAATAAATGGTTCAGATCAGTCAATTCAGCAGCTTAGATTTAATATTTAATGACAGAATGTAAAGTTGTTTATTTTAAAACATTTTTCATTAAATATTTATTTCAATTAAAAAGTTAAATAGTTCTGGTTTATTCTTCGGGTTCTGGGGAATAAAAGCAGGAAGCTTGAACTTAATAAAATAAAATAATGTCTACTGTAAAATAACAAAATACGACGAGAGTAAAAACTTAACTTTAATGGGAATATTTTCACAGGTTGAAATCATCACCAGAAATCTTGGGAAGCAGATTTTGAAACAAACATCAAAGTTGGGCCGGATCAAAACATCCACCTGCAGGGCTTTCTGTACATTTTACATCCTGGAAAAACAAAATGTTTTAAAGAAATCTTATAATTCTGTTTTCAGTGACGTCTGTTGGCTCTCAAAGGCATCAAACTCATAGACTTTCATAGATTTTGCAGTGCAGATATGCCAACTTCTCCGTTCTGCGTTTCCTGAGCAGTGGCATCCACTCCTGAAGGTTCAGCTCCACGACCCTGTAACCTGCCATTTTTAATTGTCTTCTCTTCATGGCATGAAGTCCCAGTAACTGCGGTGACTGGGAGCAGTAGTGGTTCCTGCTAGAGATCTGAACCGCCACTTTGATGGGGTCTTTGGACTCCAGGCCTCTAGGTTTGGTTGGAGTTTTTGTGAAGTCACTGAACAAATCCAGAACTGAGTCAAACAGTCTCCCATCTTCATCAGGTGGTAAACTATGGTGGGAAGCAGGTTGAACTCTGGGAGAAGATGCTGGAGAATCTGGGATGTTTTTGCCATTTATTAACTGTGCTAAAATTTTATCAGTAATAATCACACCAGAGTTGAATTTTTCCCAGCTCGGATGAGACGGACTAACTGATTTATGTCGCTCTATGACTGGTGGGTTCACAGGTATGGGCTGTCCGCTGGAGTCTAGATGCACTTCAAGGTCAATGGAGCGAGTGTGAGGTAGGATCATCCTCTTACATACAAACTTTTCCCCTCCAAGCAGATCCTGAAGAGCCGATTCTGCCTCCAGAACTTCTGGCTTCTGGCACATAGCCGACTGCATGAACTTCCACAGCATTTCAGCCACCTCTTCTCTAAACTTCGGACTTAATCGTGGGCCAGTCCACCGAGGCAGCTCCAAAGCAACAGCTCCATCTAAAGTGAACAGGTCCTTTTTCAGCTCCAGATGGGTGGATTTCAGTGCTAAGCTGACAAAGTCTGGGCTTAAAGCTAACGCAATCAGGTCCTCCGGGAACTGTGAGACAAAGGCCAAGCCTAGAAGGCCAGTAAGCAGGTGCTCTGGGTAGTGCTGGAATTCGGCTTTCCTCTGCCTCAGGCTTTCTGTAAGGCTTGGATAAAAACTTGGATTCTGACTGGGGAGAAAGCCTAAGGTGCCAAAGGCCCACAGGAGTTTGCACGAGTCTTTACTCCTGCAATGCGGCACGAGCGGGGGAATTCTCTCGGCGATGGCAGTCAGGATGCTATCATTGCGGTAATGAAGAGCTGAACAAGTCAAAGCCAAGTGCATCAGTCCTTGAACAGCCATCCCGTGGGCACGTCGAGGGACTTCCTGTGCCATTGCTTCCAGCCATGGCCTGTGAAAAAGATAACTGAAACGCAGGTATTTCATCACGTTCGCCACCGCAAAGTCACTCATCTCAGTCACAAGCGAGAGCGCGCCGTCGACAATACAAGTCAGTGCGCCCTCAGAAATTGATGTTTGGGATTTAAAGAGCCCAAGACATACAGTGCCAATCTCTTCAGGATGGAGATGATGTAAATGGCGCAACAGAAGTTGCTCTAAAGAACGGATCAAGTCTTTTGGGCAGTGCCTCCCTTCACCTATTATATATATCATCTGGACCAGCTCAGGGACACCTACTTGTCCCAGATGTTGATTAAATGAGTCATGAAGACGCTGTAAAAACTGTGGGATCTGCCTTCTGATGCAGCGCCACAAGTCAGCAGCTAACAGCATCTGATGTAAGCTCATCTGGTTGGCCCGGCGACACAGCTCAGCCTCATATACCCCCAGCACGGTGTGAGAAGAAGGGATTTCCAGCCATACAAATGACTCCAAAACCTCCAGCAGCTGGGGCACAGAAAAGTGGCGAAGGTGTTGCACAGAATACCGAAGAAGCATGATGAAGCGTTGGTCCCTTTTAAGCAGCGGCAGTTTGTCTGGGTGCAACTTGCTGAGCTCTTTGAAAAACTCAGAGACATCGATAGGCTTCATCTTGCCCTTTAAGACTGACACTTTCTGGAGTAACGGCAACACATCGACCCATTCAACGGGATGAGGACGACTGGTAAGATCGAGGGCGACAGAGGCGTACTCAGGTCTGCATTTTAGAAAGGCACGTGGGTCTACTTTAACATCTGGTGATTCTGGATTTTTGTTGCGATGTTGCAGCGCTGATGGTCTCTCTGGTTCAGGGACTTTATTGAAAGCCAGTTCCAGAAGAGTGTTTTTAGAGGTTGAAAGGTGCCGTGAGGTACACACGCTGTAGTGACTCCCTTGTTGCCACAAAGAAGGAGCCTTAGCAGTTAAACACTGATCATCTTCGACATCGTTATCTGTCTGGCGGCGAGAATTTGAGTTCCACGCAGAGCGATGATACGGTAAAGGGTTGTAATGTAGTCTGTATCCTCCATGGAAAGAGCTTTCTTGGTGATGCAACACTTCCTTCTCCTCCTGGTCAGTTATGTCATCTTTTGATCTGATGTGTTGAGCCTTGGTAAAACTTTTTCTCCAGTTTGGAAGGGAACGAAGCCTTGCAGCCCTCCAACACAACACACAGGCTGCCATCAGAGAGCTAGCACTGAAACGAGAGGCAAAGGTTACGTCAACTAATTTGTTGTCAAACTTTATTTTGGGATGTTTAATAAGAATTGTATAACGTATATTATATAAAATAATAATTTAGCTGCGCATATTGATTGCAGAGTGACCTAGTGTTTAAACAAGAGCAGCGTACAACACGGCATGACTGGACGTTAGTTTGAAGCTATCGTGGACCAAACATCGTCATCAGAGTTGATCATTAAAGCAGAAACTCTAACTTTACTGTGGTGTTGATATAACTCACCTTTATTTAATTTTTGGCATGAAACCTCGTGGAAACCACCCATTTCTTAGGGTTCAACCGTTGAGAGAGGTCTTTTTCCAATCACACCGGAACTCAAGGGTTTTATTTTCAAAATAAAACAAACCAGACGCCTGTAAATCGCTTTACAGAGTAAAATATATAAAATTGTTATTTTGGATCATTATTTATACTAGATGTTTAAAAAACTAAAATATTCAACGTAGAATGACGTTGATGGACATGGAAATGCGTCAACGATATATTATTGTGGCAGAAAAATAACTTCCGGGTAAAGGGGCAATAGTTTGATCTATGGCAGCCGCATTGGTTCAAGAAACAGCAAAAACGAAACACAATTTTTATTTTTTATTTATCTTTTTTTTTCATTCCAAAAATCGTCTTTTATCAAAATATCCTAAATTTTAAACTGAAACAATATACATTTGCTTTATTTCAAATGCTAATTTCACACTTGGATATAATGTTGCTAAATAACAAAATTATCACTATGTCACACAAAACGTTTAAACAAAGCATTACTATTGTATTACCACGTGGGTTATATATTTCTGCTAAATATTTCAAAGTGAAAATTAAAAAAAATTAAAAAAGTTATTCTGCATGTTTTTGTTTTCCGTTTATTCTTAATTTGTATCAGCAGAAATTGAGATTGAAGTCAAACTATTTTTTGAGTGAGCTCATATGAAAACGCTGATGTTTGTCACTTGTGACTTTTTTATTTTTCTAATGACTGTGCATATGTTTCACAACTTAATTAGAACATTAACTCTTTTTCTTGATTTTTGTACAGTATTCTGTATTATTTCTGTTCATGCATAGCGTGTATAGCACTTAAGGCATGTTGTCATGATTTTTTTTTTATGATAACAGGCATATCCCAAAAGTGCTTCATCCAACCCATTATAGATAAACCCTTGAAGAATAAATAATCCAATAAAACTATTTTACATCTGAGTAATAACGTGCCAGGGCAAGCTATTATTATTTGTTGTATTGTACTTGTTTTTCTGTTTGAAATTCAATAAATTTTGACCTATGAGTAGTCTTTTTTATTGTAACAAAATTAAATCTGAAACAACAGACAATACATTTATGAACTATTATGAACTTTGATCTTTGAAAACATTAATGTTGTGATTATTTTCCCACACCACTGGGACATTTTAAGTTGGATGGCATTAAATTGTACTGAAAGCAACCATTATTGTTTTTCAACAAACATCTCACAACTTTCAAAAGCATTCATCTTAATGTAGGCCTGCTGCATCCAATCATCTCACCGATATTTAACTTATTTTTATTCACAAATTACAATCTGCATGTGTGTTCAAAGCTATTTTTGCTGGAGCTTTGTAGAGATTACATTTAATTTTCCTCACGTTTGGCGACACTTCCCTATGCAGTTATATTACGTAAAATTCGGATCAAAACACAAGTTGCTTTTATTGTTCATATTTTTTAACGTATTCATGCATTCTATGTGTAATATATTATCATACAGAACTATCTAATAAAAAATCATCTTTAATTTTTTTGAAAATTGTATACATGTTATGAAGGAATTATTGTAGAATTTGCAGCAATCTGCTGTAAAATATATATCAACATGCTAATATATGTTTTAATAATCTTATATATCATCTTGTTGATCGAAATTACATTTTGAAAGTACTCCGTTTCTTACGAAAAGAATGTATTGTATCATATGTTCTGTTATTGTAAATGTTTAAAATTTTATTTTATTTTATTTATTTATTTATTTATTTATTTGTATCGTGGTGAAACTTCGGAGAGGAAGTAGCTGATTTATGTAAATGAATGAGTTTGGGGTTCGGCTCCGCTGGCTGGGAGCCGCCCTTCATTCACCACATGGTTAAACCCTGGCTCTACTCGCGCGCGCCACTTTCGCAATCTTACTACGACTCCCAAACTCCCAGCAAATCATAATAGTAGCACATGGTTTTGCACTTTTGTTTGATCGTAAGTCTTAGTTTGGGGTCTCTCTTCCTCTGCAGTATTATTGCAGGACTCGACGGATAACCAGCGTGAGTATTACGGTAAGTGAGAATAAGTGAGTGAAGATGGTGGATTTTTAGAAGCTGATGGTGTCTTGCACCGCGCGTATTTATTTCCTTAAAACCTGTTGTTAGCCCTTTTTTCCGGGAGATGCGACAGGAAAGTGTTGAAATGTATGTTAAATTTTGCGCTTTGCTTACAACGTTTACATCGTTAGTTTCTTCATTTAAAAACATGACAGAGGCGCATGGCAACCTCTCCATGATTGTAGAATGAGGGAGATTTGAAAAGGCATTTGTTGCTGCTGCTCCACCGAGAGTCGGGGAGTCGCTCGTGAAAAACTCAGCGCTGCGCATATTAGTTGCTGCTGTTGCCTGCAAACTCTCGCACCGTGGCGCAAATGTTAGCAACATTTCATGTTTTGGGGCAGTTTTTGTGGAGTGGTGCACATTTAAAAGTGCCTCCCGAACAAAGCGGCAGCACATGGGGTGGCGGCAGGCCGCGTGCAGCTGCTAACACGTTAGCTGCTAATGCTAACAACACTGATTTACGTTTATAAATGTTCTTTCTGTACACAGTCTGTTTACGCGCTTCGGTTAGAATATCGGCATATTACCTAAAACTTGTTGTAGAATACATAATTTAAATGTTTAAGCACATATATTTGAGTTCGAGCAAGCGGCTAACGGCTAAACCTGGAAATGCATAACGTAATGAGTAGGCGAAGTGTGTTAAGCGACAAACGCTATAAAAATCTACTTCTTGGTTTTTTTTAACTATTTTACTCAGTTGTAGAGTTTCGCTTAACACAAACATGTTGGGTGATGGAAACAAACCGCAGTGGCGTGTTATTTGCGCCAGTTTCCGTTTGCCTAGCACATGTGTGCTGTTGTGATGGGAGTCTTCGGGGACTACGGCTAGCTTGTTGTGTTGAGTTTTCGATATCACATGCGTGGTGCGTCAAATGGTTACGTGTGTACACGTCTTATACAGCCCCGTTTCATTTATTCGTTTAAAAATAAACGGAACAACTCTAATTGTGACGTGATTCCCCAGGAGGCAAAGAGGGTACATTTATAATTTAACCGCACAACTCTCTGGACTCGTGGGCGCCATGTTAGCGCGTGGGGGAGGGGTACAGAACTGTGGCTCGAGCCCTAAAGTGTTGCTGTCCTCAAGAAGACCGGGGTCGGGTATACGGCATGCCGTTGTAGCATAAAGTCACACTACACCGAACTAGTTCATCCTAATCGTTGACTAGTTTTGGGTTCTTGGTCAAATTGGTTGCCATAGTTTATCTTACTTGAAATCTGCTGTTTATTATAAATATAATTATAAATATATTAAAAAAAGAACTTAAGTCTTGTGTTTATGTTATATGCTCATTTTTGAACCAACAGCGCCAAAGATCTGTGATAACAAATCAAGCTTTATTTAATTATTTATGTCTGTTTGGACAGTAAGAATGGGTCAGTTTGTTCGTTACAGCAGTTCACATTTAATGAATATAATTTAGATGGTCAGATTAAGAAAACTTAGGTTTTTAATCATAAAATGACTGCATTTATTTTTAAGGCCTAAGCGGCTCAGAAGTGTCCCATGATTCCTGCTGTGTACATTTCGTCTTATGACAATTCAGTTTGCCATAAAACGGTTGAAGTTTGGTGTTAAAACAAGCTAGCACCTGCTAGTTCCTGTTTTTACCTTTATAAGCACTTGATAACAATCTGGAATGTCTGTTTACTACAGTTTGGAAGGAAATGTTTCTCAAAACGCTGCCAACGGTGCTTTATTATGAGACAATAATCTGGGGAAAAAATTCTAATTAAATATTCTTAGTAAATCAAATATATTTAACAAATCGAACAATTTGTCACCACTTATTTATCTGAAATGCAAAAGTGACGTTTTTGATGATGATTCACACATAAGATTGCAAAGTGTGGCTGTTTAAAAAGTAAATGTGTATTTTAACTGTTTCATGAAGGTGAGTTAGTGCAGACGTGTTTCTGAGCTACAGCTGACTTCCATAGTTCTTTTTCCAGCTCTGCTCCGCATGAATTAAAATCCACATTTGTGCCTTTTTAAACATTGTAGCTTACAAACGAAAACAGGACTGATCACATACCTCCACCTCAGCTTCTTCCGTTGGAGACGGAGTAATTGTGACCGGGCTTGTTAACTCACCAAAGGTCAAACATCTGACACTCTTGGATTTCACTTTGCCTTCCATACCTTGCTCTTAAATATAAATTCAATCAACCTCTTTTTTTTATTATTCACAGAAAATAAGCACTTATCAAAAAAACGTATGATCAGGGATTTCCTACATGTCTTTAAGCTCACATAGGCAATTGTAATTGCATTTAGGACAATGCCTTCACCTCCTGAACTGAAGTTGCTGACCTCTTAATGTTTACTTTTTTTATTTTTTGCAGAACCCTCCCGAACGGCACATATTGAACTCGAAGGCGTCCATCATTCAGCCTGAAAGAAAATGCTACACGCACAGTTTTGAGTCACTGTGGTGTCAAAGTGCTTACAGTGCAGGTAGTTTTCTGAAATCTACTGCAGTGAAGGCACTTTCGGCACTGTTCTGATAATGTGAACTAAAGGAGCCGATCCAGCTGAGGTCATGAATAGACTGAATGCAGGCACGCTTGTTAATGCACATCTGGCAGGAACCTCTGCTCACCCCCGCTGTTCTGGACACAAGAATCAATTTAGGAAGCAAACATTTTAGCTGTGTATGAAATCTGTCAGTAGTTTAGAGTTTTCTGTACTTTTTTTTAATCTGAGCGTTGTCTTCCTCTGGCTCTCGTGCTAAGGTGCATCTAGTGCAGATAGTGAAGTAGACTAGCACCTACTGCCCTAAGTGCTCCTTCTGGCATAAGGAGACGGAAATCTCACCATTTATTTATTTTTTTTGTCCATTTCCACGTTTGTGTGCCTTAGTCGGCTCTCCGTCAGTTTTGCCTAGTTGCGCTGCAAGAAGAAATAAGTTGTGCAAATCTACGCAAAACTGATGACGAGCTGTGTTTACATCCGTTCCTTCATGTTTTGCGCTCTGGATGCGGTAAAGTCGGGTTTCAGTAGTATTAAAGTGCTTATAGTGCAGGTAGTTACTCTGAATTCTACTGCAGTGTGAGCACTTGAAGTACTTCTAGACTGGATCTCCGTGGAGAGCTGCAGGGGTGGCGAATGCGCACGTGGGTCTCTGGTTAGTTTTGCTGGTTTGCTGTCAGCTTTTCCATTCACTGCTGTGCAAATCCATGCAAAACTGATCATAGAGCTGAACAGAATCGATGCGAGGGGATCCCTTTCTGTGCAGGTTGGGAGAGGCGGCAATGCTCCGTGCTTGAGAGGTATTGCACTTGTCCCGGCCTGTTGAGGACATGGGAACAGTTCAGCATCTGCTACAGCCTCCTCACCACCAGGCTAGTAAATATCGCTCACTAAAGTTCTTTTCCCGCTTCAGAAGTGTTAGCAGTTTAATTTTGAAAATAAAAATAACAAAAAGCCTTGCTTGCTTGGTGTTCTTTATCACATTGACATGAAAATGTAAATTAGGTTAAACAAAAGAGTTGATACATTTTAGTTTGCATTTGATTTATTTTATTCTGGAAACACGAGAATGTGTACAGGAGGTAGGGCCTTAAATGTTAATACTTACGCCTACCTTCCATTTCAAACAACATTGATTGTCAATAATTGTATTTTTTTTTTACATAAATTACAAATGTCAGAATTTAAATGATTTCTCTACGATAATTTTTTTCCTCTGACATTTTGAGAATCTCCCAAATTATCAGTTTCTATATTAACCAAGAGAGATGGAGAAAATGGTGGCATCAAGTCATCTCCATAGCATGTCTTCATTCAACTCTGCAACTAAACCAGATGACTTCTATCAGCACAGTGAATGAACCTGCTTCAGTTTCTGAACCAAACTAACAAAAACAGCAGGAAGATGACTTGTTGGCGTCACAGTTCCTGTCTGTTTACCATTACAATATTTACAGTAGCATACAGTCTTACATTGTATGACATTTTGCCAATAATTATAGCCATTTTTTTAATTACCTGCATTTATTTTAAAATAGTTTTAAAGGCAGGTTAAAAGATCTAAAGCTTTAGATCTGTGGGCTGGTGCCCAGCACGTTTGACTCATTCAGTGGTTGGATCACCTGTGCAGCAGCTCATCAGGCTCTACTGAAGCACCTGCTGATTGAAACCAGGTGTGTTGAAACCTGTTGGATACCGACCCACCAGGAATGAGAACCACTGGACTAGGTCTAGACTGAAGTGCTGATTTGTTGAATTTAAAAAAATGTAACATTTTAAACAATTGTTTCCCAAATTCCAGTCCACGTGTCAGAAAAAAATGTAATTTGATGTTTTAAAAAAATGATTTACTTAGAAAGAATAAAACACGTTTTGACAAAAATAACTAAAATGCAAAAGAGATAAAAAGCAATATTCTAATGATATGTGGCAAGTAACACCGCTGATGCGATCTGATCAAAATGAGCAGCAAGTGTTAAGCAGGCGTAACTATGGCCCTGCTTTGTTCAGAAGTGTGAATGTCATAATTATTAACGCGTCAATTATCCTGGAGAAGTAAATTAAGTAATTCTCCAAAAGAAATAAAGTTCAACGTTTTTCTGTAAAAACAAACGTGGTCCCCTGTGTCCCCAGGAACGGTATCAGGTGCCCACAGGCCTTTTCTCTAAATGGCACAATAAACCAAAAAATCTGCTGCCACTTTTTTTTTATCACAAATGCTGTACATTTAAAAACCACAATATTCTTAAATGAAGTTCAGTTTATTTGTGATATTTCCAGTTCAGAGGTCAGTATAGTAGCAACCTCGAAGCCCTTCGAATGGCTCAGTACTCATTAAGTGGCTCTCAGCTCCATAAAGCTTGGTGACCCCTGACCTACAACATCATTTTCATGGTAAATTCCACCACGATGCCGTTAGAAACATCCCATAGTTTTTTACCATTATTTTTCATTGATTATTGACCTGCTTGCTGTAAAACACATTTTTAAATGATGTCAAAAGCATTTAATATAAATTATAAAACAAAACCATGGTAAAATCATTTAAATATTTGTGGATTTTTCTTTAGTGACGTTTCATAATTTAAAATAATTATACAATTTTGGTTATTAGTTGCCTTTTTTTCATGAAATCTGTGAATTTCCAAACGTTACACGTGTAATCAGACAATTGTCCAGCAGGGGGAGTCAGCCACCAACCAAAGAATGAACGTTTGAGTCACGCTGAGTTACCATCATGAGTTGACAAAAGTAGTGTTACATATAATGGAATTTGTTTATAAAACTTTAACATTGGTTTTACACGTTTACTTAAGAAAAGCAGATATGCCAGTTTTGACTAAGTAATTCAATTCAGTCAAATCAAATTTTTTTTTATAAATCCTGTCATATGTTCTAATTACAGATCAGGCATTCATGTTTGTAGTTAATTTTAAAAAATGTATCAGAGACATCAACAAGTTGAATGCCTGCCCACACACACACACACACACACACAGATCCAATACTCTGCAGACCTCTGGTCAATAAGCAGACTTTCTATTATTTGGCGTTGTATGGAAGGCTGGCAGAGGGAGCTATTCACTGAAGTGTTCACCTTTCATTACACGTCCTCTTTACTTGACAGACAAGATAAATGGGAAACATCCAGAGAGGACCTGAACCCAGAGATGCATTTCTGCTTTGCAGCTCATGCCTTATTGCTCTAACAACCTCTATTTACGCTGATGTCTTGGAGATCTCACGCCTTTTTTGAGACGGATTGCTGCATGATTGTGGCTTGTCTAGCAGATGGCACCCGGTGACTTGAAGTTGTTGCACTAATGTGACCTGACTTTGTGATGGAGATGTTCTGCATTCTCCTTTTCTCCTGAGATGATAAATAAAACACCTAAAGGATAGTTTATGACAGAAACATTCGAAAGTGCACTGCAACAGCTTACCTTATAGAAACGATTTGATCTCCACAGAGTTTCAGACATTAGCAGTTCCCACGGGATGAATCATAATGGCTTTGTTGATCTACTGACTTTTCCTCTGCTGCTGTCAGGAATTTTATATTTACGAGATTGAGCAAAATTCAGAAATGAAATTCAATATGCATTTTTTCGCTTTGTTGACCTTGGACTCTGACATCATGCGTCATCAAACCAATCACAAGTGAAACTGAGCCATCACTTTCTCCTGTATCATCCAACATGCTGAATAGCACAGCTTGATGCTAAATATCATAAACATAAAGCCACTCAATGGTTAGAGAAATAATATCAAAAATCTAAACAAATGAAAGAAATAAATATGTCTAATTGTCCCTGTTGTTTCTTTTTTTAAACTGGAAACTGTTCTTTGAGCCTCTATGTAGCTTATTAAATGTTGAGGCTCACAGTGACGTAGGAGCACTGACAAATGGCCAAACACAACCCCATAACAACATTTCCTATCACAGTTGTGCAGATGACAGCTAGATCTACCTAGCCCTATCACCTTGTGACTGTGGCCCCCTAGAGTCACCCTGTCTGTGTTTGGAGAAAGTTAATGACTGGATTCAATCAAAATTCCTCCAGTTAATCAAAGACAAGATTGAAGTTATTGTCTTTGGATATAAGAAGGATAGGATGGAGGTTATTGCTCAACTTGGCTCCAGAGGAATAAAGAAAAAGACTCAGGTTAGAAATCTTGGTGTCAAAACTGATTCAGACCTGAGTTTCGCTGGTCTCATTAAGGCTATAACTAGATCAGTGTTTTATCATCTTCATCAAATAGCCCAACTCAGAGGTCTCATGTCCAGACACCTAGAGAAACTCATTCATGTGTTCATCTCCAGCAGGCTGGACTATTGCAGTGGTCTTTTGACTGGTCTTCCCGAAACGGATGCGAAGCAACTGCGGCTTATTCAGAACGATGCTGCTAGAGTCTTAGAAAGAACCAAGAGACCCGAGCACATCACTCCTGTGCTTAAATGTCTGCACTGGTTACCAGTAAACTACAGAATCTATTTCTAAGTGCTTCTACCAGTTTATAAATCATTCAGTTGCATGGGGCCAAAATACATACTGTGTATACGCCCAGTAGGGCTCTAAGATCTTTAGGAAATAGTCAGCTGGTAGAACCCTGGGTCAGAAACAGAGCGAAGCTGCTTTTAGCTACTTTGACCTCATGACCTCAAATGTGCCCCAACTCTAGTAACTTTTAAATCAAATTTAAAACCTTCACATATTCACTGTAACTGCTCACCCTTTAACTTTGTCTCCTTTTTTTTTTTTGCCTTGCATTGGAATCTAAATTTAACTTATGTGTATTTTAATCGTGTTGTTCTCACATTGATTTTAATGTTCTTGCTAATTGGAAAGCACACTGAATTGCCTCTGTGTATGAATGTGCTATATATATAAAGCTGCCTTGTCTTGCCACAATAAAGCCCTACAATGGACAGACTGGTTTGTCCCAACCACAAAGTCAGCACATTAATATTAAATGAGCTGCAAGGTTCCCTGATATTGAGAACCACCCTATGAGTCTTGGTCAGACTATATATTTATATATGGGATGGCTTGCCAGCAGGGCTTAACGTGAGCTGGATCTTGCCAGAACAAGATCCGGCAACTGTCTCATTTTGAAAGGACCATTCCGGTAACTGTCTGCCAGGATCCGGCAACTCACGCAACCAACTTGTGCTATACGCCAGGGAACAGTAAAGATGCAAAAACTACCATTGTTAAAAGAGATGTGTGTTAACTTTGAAAATGTTGGCGCAATTTTAATTGTCAAAAACTCCAGCGAACCAACCCGGTACCCCCAAACCCCCCCCACCCACCCCCCATATCCAGGTTCATGTCAGTATTTGCATTCCGGGAACGTTTGATTTACAAATTAAGCACTACTCGCCAGGCTAAAAAAGGACATTAACAGTAGCTTGGGCTAGCATATTCTCTGGTTAGCATAACTGCTGCCAAAATTTCTAAATTGTCAACGCTAGACGTGAAACAAACTGTTTCTCTCAGGCCATGACGACGTAGCTAATTTACATAGGAAAGCAGGTCGGAGACACCACAGATATTTTTGGTATACTATATTACTATATATATATATATATATAGATATTACTATATACTATATTACTACGACAACATTAGACAGCTCAAGCTGACTATAGTAAACAACAAGATAAATTTGGTTTTGAATTCTAGGACCCGTAGATACCTTCAACAGTTGAAAAACATTTGTATTTCACTTTAATTTTAGACAAGACAATGTTATGTATTTTTCACATTTAGTTCTTCAACTCCTGATTTTCAGGTAACCATCATTCAGCCTTGACTTATACAAGACTGAACAGTCGCAGCCCTTAATCCTCCAGGATTAGCCAAACATTCAGAAAGCACATCATTTCATTTTGTATCTAAATGCAATGCGCTCCCCTTTTTTCAACAAATAGAAAATGACTGTACACACACACACA